AATGTGGAGTATAATTCTGAACACACATATGCACACACAAAACATGAATGAACTTGGGATATAATTCTAAATACAAACACATGAATGAATGTGGAGTATAATTCTGAACACACATATGCACACACAAAACATGAATGAACAAAATAATAATAATGAACTATATATGTGAATACAAATCATAAATGTGTGAATAAAACAATTCCAACAGTGGTGTGAACACGGGCAGTAATTTTGCTCGAAATATTACCAATAACAAAACTTATCATTGTGTGTAAACTATTCAAATATAATTATACTTTATTTAATCTAATCCACAATGCTCAAACTTTTTACTGATATTAATTTCTTAAGAACTTTTTTAAATATGCTCTCCAAGTTATCAGTTCTATTGTAAAACATTCTGAAACCAAGTTATTCCGGACATGATGGTGGATTAACTGTATTTTCTGCCTGTGTGTATTGTCATGATGATGAGAATCCACCTTCAATATCTTGGTTCCCAGTGCACTCATACATACATACAGGTGATAACCTACAATTTCACCTCTCGAAATTTTCAAGTAGTTCTTAAAAGATATAATAAGTTAATGAAATTATAACACTAAAGCTGAAAATACCGAATCCAATACATTATCTGGTCAAAATATGATATTTGATCATCTGTAAAATTGGTTTTCAACCATGTTTTCTATACTATGAGAGACAACAGGATATAAGATTGCTCAAATACATCTGGCATTTACAATATTCCCTATAAGAATATAACTTCAATTCTTTCCACTTACCAAAGTTTAACTAATCTGCTTCTTAGCTGCCTCATATTAGATGAGATGGTCACCATTTCTAAATTTAAAGGAATTCACGTGTTTCATTTGTTTAGGCAGTACCATTTCAACTACTGATGGTACAGATTAGAATCTTAAATTCACAATTGTAAAGCGAGAAAGACCTTCATTAGTGTGAAGTCAGTGGGTAAATCTGCTAGACTCAGCATATGGAACAAGGTCCGATTCTTTAACACCAATGCCAAAGCAGTGATTTTATATAGTTCACAGACTTGCCGTACTTGTGACGAATAGTAGTTCCAACAATTAGCTGCCTTCGTTCCATAGTGACACTCAGAAGGTTTACTAGAAATGAGTGGGAACGAAGAACTCTGGCAGGAGGATAAACCAACTGAGGACCTACAGCACAATAATCGTGCAGAAGGAAATGGGGATGGAAGACCATCGAGTCACATGACACGCTAGGCAGTCACATGAAGTGTGAATGGGAAACGACGAGTTGGGAACCCTAGTGTAGCATCGAAGACATCGTTTTAAGAGGAAATGAAGGCTTATGGCCGGCTGTGTAACCAGGTTTAAGGGAATGCAGAGGACAGAGTGTAATAAAAATGTGCTGCTGAAACACTATGTTCTACTAAAAACCTGAGGAGATAATGACATAGTAATAACATTCATATTCTGGAGTCAGTATTCTTTAAGCTTCTGAAGACATTAGCAAAAGATATTCGTATACATAAAGAAGGGTAAATTCTATTTAGTATTATGGCGTGTCAATCACTCAGAAATCGTAGAAAACAGTCCTACCGATAACATCTGTGGAATATTTCATTTAATTCTACTAGATGTACTACCTAATAGTTAGACGTTGCTAAACCAGCAAGTTTGTGTATTCGTTTCCTTTTTGTATGTATTTTATGGAAGATTTATTTTCATTATTCGACTTTCATAGACACTTCTATCCAATGGGTTTAGTAACACTTAATGTACATTTCAGTTGTGTCTCAAGTAACTTTATTGATTCACCCGCCTAGATCTCAAATGTAAAAATATTATACCCAGCTGAAATACCTATTTCACGTTTGTTTCACGTTTTCAACAAATTTGACCTTGGCGACCTGTTCGAATTTTTGGGCCAGCTATTATAATATCTACATTTTGCATCCAGTCTACTGTTTACCAACATTTATTTATGCCCTAAATATGAATTCTAACAGAATCATTTACTCTCGTAACTTTATCAATCATCTACGACCAAATGACTTTCATATTCCAAAGAAATCAAGGAGGAAACATCGCAGTGGTTGGCAGAGAGCTCTCAAACGTACACCAATATACTTAACTACAGTCCCTGTCATAATGAACTCAAACTGTCGCTCTCTGCCAAACAAGATAATGTACCTACAATCCTTGATGTCCACTGACACTTATCATAATACTGCCGTAATCACATTACAAGAAACGTGGTTACACGAACTGCATGATGACAATCTTATCTCACTAAAGGACTTTATTTTATTTTGACAAGGCCGTCAATGTTGTAATAAGAAAAATGGTGGTAGAGTTGCAACTTTTATTCACTCCAAATGGTCTGTTTCTAATAATGTCTGCTTCACCTTCTCAAATGACTTCATTGACTGTATTACTGTCAAATGTCGTCCCAAACATCTCCCCAAATATAAACAAATCTTTGTTACAAACATGTACATTTCTCCTAGTTGCTCTCCGTCTGACTATCTAATTTTCCTGATGAATTCACCATGTTTGCTGCTGCCAAATTCGACAACTCTCTATCCGCTATTACTGAAGATTTCAACTCTTCAAATTGCTCCTTTCTTGAAGCACTTAGTCACACAAACATAGTCAAATTTCCCACTCAACTTGACACTCGATCTAGTTTTTACTAATGACGAAGGAGTATATGAAACACGTAGACGTTCACCGATACTTGACTCGAATCACTGCATTGTTCGTGTTTTACCAAAAATATACAGCAAAACACATATTAAAGTCTTCTTACACCTGTCTATGAAAGCACAACAAAGATGCTACACATCTGACAACCTACTCGACCTAAGATGCATGTTAAAAATGCTAACTGGGATTTGTTCTATGAAAGTTCATTAGATGACTGAATCACCAATATAACGGATTATCTTAAGTTCTGCCTTGATATATGCAGTCCCAAACAAACACTATTCAAACGCATCGACCGCTTCTCGTCTCCTCATCTCAAACAACTTCGCAGGCTAAATGAAACATTATATAAACTCAAAGATAAGTTAGGACTTAAAAAGGTTTATGCTCAAATCAAATCTGAAATCAAAAATCTTAATGCTATCTATAACCAAACATTTTTATCATGCAAATCTCCTATCAGCAAGTGGAAACTTTTCAATGAAATTACTGGCAATAGTAAGCGATGTAATGTCTTTCCCTCTTATGATGTTAATGCTCTTAATCAGTCTTTTATACGCTCTCCTTGTACTTTAACTACTTCTAACGTTACTTATCATGTAGCTGATAACCTCCAGGACTTTAGTACTCTCGATGTTTTGAAATGTCTTAAAACTCTTAAGCCCTCATGTAGTCTTGGCCCTGATGGTAAACCTGTATATGTTCTAAAACAATGTGCAGATGCTCTATGTTCTCCTCTAACTAACATCCTAAATGCTTCTTTCTCCGAAAACGTTGTACCTGTTCCATGGAAAGGCATTAAAATAGTCCCTGTCCCTAAACCTGGCAATAGCAAGAACGTATAGTTCAGACCAATTGCCATCACCTCTCCGTTTCTAAAGCTCATGGAAAAACTAGTACTTCTTAAACTCGAACCCTCCCTTAGAAGCTTCGAAGACCCCAAACAATTTGCCTATTGACAGGGTAGGAGTACTTTAGACACTGCAGCCGTCTTACACAACAGTATTGTCTCATCATTAGACAAAGGTGCCAAATATGTCCGCTGCACGTTTCATGACTTCACTTCTGCTTTCGACTCTGTACCTAGATGTCTCTTGCTAAATAAGCTCTCCATGACACAAACCGAGTCCTGGGTCACTAACTGGTTGCATTCCTACTTTTCAAACAGAACGCAGTACACCGTATACAAAGGCGAATCCTCCTCTGCTGTGCTCACTGAAGCTGGTGTCCCCCAAGGTGCTATACTCTCCCCACTTCTCTTTTCTTTCTTTCTACATGACCTACCATCTTCAAATGACATTAATTTAGTTAAATATGCTGATGACCTAACTGTATCTTTGCCTGTCAAATGTCAGAATGACTGCTCTAAACTAAATGGCTTTTTATCAGAAGTCAGCCAGTGGTTCAAGGAAAAAGGTTTAACCTTAAACCCCTCCGAATACCAAACAGTCAACTTCAACTTTAGGCACAAACCTGACCTAAACAAACTGGCTATCTCTCACGAGGTGTGCAGCATAGATGGCACTGAAATCGAAACCAAGTCGGAAATTAAATATCTTGGTGTTATTGTATCTGTTGATTTTTCCTGGTCGTCTCATATCTTGATTATTTCTAAGAAAATATTCCGTCTTACCTTCTACATCAAGAAATTAAGATATTCTGGAATAATCCAACCCCTACTCTTACGATTCGTTAACTCTCGCATCCTGCCTATTATTCTCCATTGTTCCCCCTTAGTTCTTCCAGGGCTACTTAAAAATGACTATACCTTATTACGCAGGATATTAAAGGTTGTCAGCAGGGTAAGCTACGTGCCTTTTAACCAACTTGTTAATATTCTGGTCGACAGGCACATGGACTCATGTGAAAAGTGCGCTAAATCCATTCTATCTAACTCTTACCGCCACTCTCCTCATTCACAACTCTCCCCTTGTATCTCATCAGGCAGGACCCAAAGCGTATATAGAAGACTATATGTGCTCGCACTAATAAGTACAAAAACTCAACCATACCCTACTTAGCTCGCGTTTGTGCGACAAAGAAAGCATTAGGCGTGAAACCTTTAACTTATTAAATGGTCAGTAGAACAATTGGATCTCGTCTTTCCAACTGATATCATTTATAGGTACAACGTTTTCTTTCTTTTTTTCCTTTTCTCTCTCTCTCTCTTTCTGTTATGTACAGCTTTGTTTCTTTCTTCTACTTACGCCAGTAAATATGCCAGCACCTATTTTTCTAGCACCTTCAAACACTCTGTTTAGTTTTGCCTAATATGTTGTTGTCAAAACTAACTGAGATTACCCTTAATCTATGTAGAATTTTATTTTATTGTTAATTTACTAACTGGATAAAATACTGTAGTAAAATACTGAGAATTCCATTCTGTATCGCAAGTACTGTTTTGGAATAAAACTATTGTCATTGTTATATCACCTACTACTTGTCTACAGATGCAGGTTGTATATCGGTCATTTAAAAAAAAACATACAAATCTCATTCAGTTTTTAACAGGTGATAAAGATTGATGTATTATTCTAAGCCAAGAAAACTGATTAAGTAATATTGATAGAAGTTATTGTTATGAGCATAAAGGAAACAGTATTTCATTATAAGTTGAAAAGAATGGAGTGATGCGGTCACATAAACATTGTTACTATAGCGTCAAACATTTGAGAAAAACAGTATAGCACTTCCACTTAAGGTAAATCAGAAATTAGTTACATTACAGCAAAAAAGATAAATGAATTTAAACTATGACAATGTAAATCTGTATTTTGCAATCATCTTATAGACAATGAAAGCTGACTCTTTCCTTCTTTGGAAATAAAAGTTTAAAGCAAGTACACGACTTCCTCATACGGTATCAACCTCAACATTCTCGATCTCTGTATCCGTGGTACATTTATCTTCATCAGTCTCTTCACTGTTGTATTCACTGGATGGATTGTAGTCACGCTTTTTACGATTCTTGAATTTTTGAGGAGCTTTATTTTTAAGTTTGGTAGGATGATTTGAGTCAAAGTGTTGTTTTTTGAGTCCATGATGTGGAATTTTTGTTTTGTTAAATGGATGATGCGATTCATTCGAGTGATTTTGATGCCCCGAATAATAAGCAGAGCTATTCGCAGTCTGGTTTAATTCATTCGCTTTTGTATTTGTGAAATTTTTGTCATTTATGGATCGATTTGAATTTATCTCTCTGGTTCCACTTACATTTACTTGTGTAAAATTTGACACATTATATAAAATCTGTGAGTTGTTTATTCCTGCGTGTATTGAAGAATGATTTTCACTGTATGGAAAGTGATTCATCATTTCCGTAGTTGTATCAAACATTACATATGATGAATATGACTCATTTGATGTTATGTTATTTGTGAAAGTTTCATTTATAGTTGAATTAACTCCATTCCCTAAATAACAGTAGAAAACAGTGTAAGTAGTTAGATTGTATGACTAAATCAGTAACCTCACAAACTTAGACGTTATCGGAAAGAAAGAAAGAAAAATAAATAAGGTAATAATTCCTTCTCAAATTGTACATAGCTTATCAAGAATGCTTTCATCCAAATAGTATCATGGGATAAATTTTCTCTACGCTGTACAGCTTGCCTTCCTTTGCAAACAATCGGCAATTGGTAATAAACCCATTATTTTGATACGGAAAAATTAGACAGTGTTTATTGATTTACCACTCGTTTACTTTAGTGAAGATGTCTCCTTTTAAGCTCTGTAAAGAATGAAATGTGCGTCGGTGGCATAGAGGTTAGGACGCTCGCCAATCATGCACATGGTCCGGGATTCGATCTCCGGCCGACGAACTCCCTTACCTCGCTAAGCCAGAAATAATGCTGGTATAGAGGAAAGGTTGGGTATGAGGCTGACTAGCAACCCTATCCTGTAAAATTAAATACTGCTACAAAAACTTCAAGCCACTAGCTTGAGGCCCTATGTTCCATTGGGAACGTGAAGGAAAATTTAAAAAAGAATAAAATAATAAAAGTAATATTTTGGCTACAATGTTTTTGCATAGAGGATTTCATCATGACCTGACATCAATTGAAGAACCATTGGGAAACCTGGGAGTACTGGACAGCTGTCTCGTCAGCCTAGTTTGGGACTCTTCACAGTACGCACAATTTTTTTCTCACTAATATTCTTTTCTCAAAGTAAAGCTTTTAATAATAAACTTAGTTGTTTCCAGCTCTATTTGAAAGTGTTTACCCTCCTGAAGATCGTGAGTAAAACCTCACGGAGAGCTTTGCAGAAGATCCGATTGATTCAGATGAAAAGTCAGTCAGAAAAGTTCATCTCACAAGCTAAAATAACATACTCCAGAATCTTTACGCATAAAACTAACCTGGCTGTAGTGTATTTATTGAAACAGCAAATGTACAGCTAATCAGACAAAACAGACATATTACTTTCCATCTGAATCTGTCCATCAGTAGTATATTCAGTACCTGAATTAAGAAAAATAACGATAATTTCATCAGACGTGGTACAAATTAATACGTAAAAGTAGTCAATATATATATATATAAGTAGTAAAGAAAATTTCAGAAATGCAATGAATGAAGTGAATTTCCTCAAATGCGACTGCATCATAATGCAAAAAAAGAAAATGGACACTTAAGTGATGACCGGAGGTCAAAGATAACTTTTCACATAGTATTTGAATGAAACCAATAAAAATTTACGGAAAATTGACATCAGTTAGTGATAAACATGCGTTTCATCTTACCCTATAGCCCTTTTAATTCACATGATTCGGTTTTCCTGTGCCTCTAGGAACCCATCTATAATATGCATTTATCTACCAATGAAACATGTTCAAGCTCTTGCAAGTCTAAACCTTTTATTCATTCGAATAACATTTTTTCTTCCAAAAGTTTGTAGTCAGAGTACAAAATGTCTTGCCTATAATATTATACTGATTTTCTTGTTTTCTATACTTCCTTTCTCATCACGGGACACTTACCAGCATGGTTTTACAAAGGGGAGAAACGATGCCCCCTCAACTCTACCTTAGAACATCTGATACATTCCGGACACTAAGCTACACTCCAAAAACAGACTTCTAAGTCGTCTACAGAATGCGAAGCAGTCTTCCTAAAAGTGTACGAGTCAGACTTCTTCAAAATGTAGAAGTAAAGGCGATTCACTTCCTAGACCCTGAGCTCTGTATACAGAAGAATTTCGTTCAATCACAACACTTGCGATGGACGTAAACTATCTTAATACCCAACAGGTAAATCCTATTTCATTCTGTCTCTTCATTCGTATTATTTTGTATTTTCAATTGTAATATTATACATTTTCAACCTTCCTGTTCTCTACACCCACCCGATTTAATTTCTACACTTCATTACCACTGTTACTGACTTGACCAACGCTCAATTTCTAGTCATTTTTGTTATATCATCCAATTTATTCGCTCAATTTTAGTCCTAATTTAAATGACATTATTGTCTACCCCACCTATATTTAGTCTCAATCTGTAATTACCTCTGTTGCTATCTTGACCTAAGTTGAAACATTCTAGTCAATTATATTACGTCACCTAACTTACTAACTCAATCTTGGCTGAATGTCTTCTCTTTTTCACATAACTCAATAGGGATTTTTAAGCTTCCTTTACTGGAGAAATTCTGGTTAATACCTGCTGACAACTGAACACTGTACAGTGGATCCCAATTTGTTTCATAGGATCATCGAAGAAGGATATCTTATTTTTGATAAGGTGTTCTGACAGTTTCAGTCTAACATAGTTCATACGATGTAAGAATTGTAAAGTGTGTACACTATTCAACAATGAAGTGAGTACGCTTATACCTTTGAGTTGACTCTAACCACGCTTTCAGTCTTTTTTATTACTATATTTATTATTTATTTATAAAACCTGATGAACGCTATTGTTGTTTGGAATTTCATATATTCCATTTATCTTACATCATTATTTGTATCACGTTTTGAATACAAATAAATATATTTCTGTAAATATTTGCATATTAAATAGTCTGATGGCGTGGTTAAATCACCATTGGGTTACCTAAATTTTTATCCAGGATGGAGCGTAAACTATCTCTTTATTTCTTATTGTTTCAATCATATAACTATGTTTTTTAGATAGCTGCATGAACTTACTCACAATCTTTCGGTTCACTATCGACGTAATGCAGATCACTTCTCAAAGAAGATGATGGACTGGACATTACTTCAAATGGAACAAAACAGCATTAAACGATGTACTTTTGACTACTATCCTTGTGTGAATAGTAGACATTGTGTAATTCAAATACACTGAGAAGTGTGCACTATATGCTGAAGTACTGTTTAAAATAAATTCACTGTTATTGTTATCAATTATTCTATTTTCTTTTCATCTTTGAAAATCCTCTCGAAAGCTTAATACAATTCACAATAATCCTATGGCAGAGAGTGACATAATATCACTTTGTGAATAGTCTTTGTTTTCTATTTGGGTTTCGTTATCTAAAAGAGTCATCAACAGCATATAATTCTTCTACTTTTTCTACTTGTGAACGTAAATTGTATGCCAATGTTTTCTAATCTTGTCTTTCCTGACGTATTATTAGATAATACCATCCATAAATAATAAATCAAGTAACTAGGTGTAAAATTTTGAACCACTTCGTCAACTGAAATGATACAGATATTATCTGAACGATAATAATAATGATGATGATGATAACTGGCAGTGGAGTCCAAGACAAGTCCGTCTCATCCGATTTGAAACATTTTTTCCCCTCGCCTAGTGAGACACAACAGTTACCTTGTCTGAAAAGTTGTCAGTTGTAATTTGCCCAGTTATTTTTTTCAATTTTGTTGTTGTCTGACTTCATTGGACAGAAATGTCTGATCTGTATTGAATTTTGAGCATCATAAGGCCATACCCTGGTAGGCACCATGCCAATACAGACCAAGTATTCCAGGGGAATCGAACAATTGGAAGTTCAAAAATTTCGGTAAAGAAGATATTACCTGACGCGGGTGGCATTAAATGTAAGGTGGATTACATTGACAAAAAGCATGGCTTCACATAATCACTTTGACGGTGACCAATCAACAAAGCATATTTAAAATCCTTAGGAAATCCGTGTTTCTCTTGAGAAATACTAATTTATTTAAAGCAGAGTTTAATTCAAAACTGATTTAGGCTTTTTGGGAGGATGTTTATGCCTTGGAAGGTAGTCTAGTTTTTTAATAGAAATAAACATGGAAGTGAAGACACTTCAGTCTTTGTTGATAACTGAATTATTGTGAATGTGTAAAGTAGCTTTTTTTCACTTTGTTAAATAAGGTGGATATTTTTTTCGGATTCAACAAAATGCTGACGTAAATAGCTGGATTCATGGACAAAATATAAGTAGTATGTTAATTTTTCCAAGTAAATCCCTTCAATACCTAAGTCTAATTCAAACTGTGAAACTGTCTAAAATAACTTTGGATTATAATATTGTTTGGGTTTCTAGGGCAGCTGATAAAGTCTTTGACTAGTATTGAAATTCAAAGGAATCTGCTTTGAACCCTGACGCTATTCACACTTTTATTCCAGTTATAGAACTGTCTTTGCTCAACAATGCAGATAAGATAGTCAATCAGAAAGGATAAGCAAAGGATCAGGAACTCTGTCAGTGTAAGGAATCACTCAAAGAAACTAATATTCAAAAAGTATACAGAAGGAAATAGATATGAGTCAGGTATGCTCTGACGAAACATTCAAATAATATCAAACAACAGGCTTTGCAGTAGGACAGAAATGGTGACGATGAGTTGGACGTTTGTATGCTAAGTGGGGAAGGTCACATGAAAAGGAAATGAAAGCTTGTCGGCAGTTATTGAGTCAGTTGATCATAATTACAGGAAGTAGAGTATACATATATATATATATATATATGCATATATTGGTTTTGTAGGGATTTCGTTTGATTGAGTGGAGGATTTCATCACGAACTTACATTAGTTAGAGAGCCACTGGAAAGGCTGGGAGTACTGGACAGCTGTCTCGTCCTAGTTTAGGAATCTTCGGCAGTTCACACCCGCCGGGGTTCGAACCCAGGACCTTCTGGTTACAAAGTGAGCTCGTGGATCATTGATAGTATCACTGGGTGCGTACTGATGAAGAGTCCCAAACTAGGACGAAACGTCTGTCCAGTACTCCTAGGTTTTCTAGTAGTTCTCTAACTGATATATTTATATAAATTTCTGAAAGTAGTCAAATATTTAACTATCACTCCTTGATTATATAATGGTTATCAAGGTCGTCATGAAATTACTCGCTTGATAAATGTAATTTAATAACCACTTTTAGTTGGGTATTTTTTAAACCAGAAAAATTCAACTGCTAGAATCACTCAACTTAGTGCTGACTCCTTTTGTTCTTAATTTCCTCCTTTATATTATTATAAGCAGTAAACTGTTTAACAATTCTCACATTATTCTTCAAGTGTAGAACTGAAATCGTAGGATCCTTCTTTGATAAAAAAAATGCGTTTCTGTTAATGCGATGAATTAATTCACTTCAGAAAGTCAATCATTCTATACATAATTATTATTTGGCATTCCAGCATAGTTTATATGAAAAAAACGCTTGAATTTAAGAGATTACTTTTTCTAACTAATCCACACTACAAATACTCGAGTTTTTTGTATGATTTTTGTATTCATGTTATTCTGTGGTCAGACTATTATTATTGTTGTTGTTGTCGTTGTTGTTTAAACAAACAAACAAACAAACATGAGTCAATTATGTAAATAAAATTTGTAATGAATCTGTCCTTAACAAATAGAAAGATTTTCATCATTACTACTTTTATCAGTAGTAAGGTTCATATTGTCTAGAAAGATAGTGGAAGCTTATCAGTTAAAATGATCCGTCGAAGAGAATACAATTACACCAAATAATAACTACTAATAATGGCATAATAATACATGAACAAAAGTTACAAATTATCTTGTTATTATTATCTGTGTCTTCAAAACCACTCCTCTTTTGCTTTTGGTAGTAAAAGAGAAACTGGTATACGAGCTCGCCTTGTAACCAGAAGGTCCTGCGTTCGAGTCCCGGTGGGTGCGTACTGTGAAGAGTCCCAAACTAGGACGAAACAGCTGTCCAGTACTCTCAGGTTTCCAATGGTTCTCTAACCAATGTCAGCTCATGATGAAGTCCTGTAAACCAATCAAATCCCTACAACCCAAAACTTGAAAAGAGAAACTGCCTAATTTCGCCTCTTCCATGTGTATCTACCAATTTAACTGCTCCTGTGGAGCCAGTTACATAGGCCGTACAATTAGGCGTCTTTCTTGTCGGATTTCCGAACACCACCCTGCTTGGTGGTGGTTAAGTAAAGGAAAAACTAAAACTGTTTATTGTAGCGCTATTCTATCTCATCTTGTGGATACAAAACACAAGATTGATGTTAACCAGGCTTTGGAAGTCATTTACCGCATACCAACAAATCTTAACTTCACCGTAAGAGTTCGATTAATAAATATTGCTGAGGATGGCTGTTGGGATCCACATTAAAAAGCCCAATTTATGCGTCCAAAAATAAGCTAGTTCAGACATTACCCTTACCTTGGCCAACTAGCGTTGAATGATCCTTAATTTTTGTAGATATATCCCTAATTTTAGTTGATATTCTATTTGCTACTATAGCTCTGTTACTATTATAATTTAAGCATCTTTAATGAACTGTAAATACATTGGTCTTACTTTACAAAACGATATTACCTAAAAAGCACTTATATTGTTATTGGCTTCTATTCTAGAATATTCTATGTATGTAAACATATATATATATAATTGTAGAGCCAGACGAGAAAATTATCGCAAAGGATATTCTTTGCTCAATTATTTTGTGTTTTATATACTACAGAAACGTTTCATCTCCATAATCGGATTAAATTATCGAAATTTCAGTCAAATTGGTATAAGCGTCGTATATTCAATTTACGATGTTTAAAAAACGATATCATTCCGAAATCGCTTGTGATAGGGGTTCCGGAAAAGTCTCATCGATCTATGAAAGCATCCATTGTAGCATCTCGCGTGTTCTTTCGAGAAAGGATACACAAATGTACATTAGCAGTGAGACATAATCAGTATCGAAATAGTAATACTGATGACTGTCTTAATATTCTTATATCCAAAGATCATATAACTACTATTACCCATTTATTCGAAGATCAAAAGTCCGCTCATTTCAGTGCTACTAAGCAAAGACAAATTCGAAAATTTGAAAAACTTATAAATCCGAACGCAGCATACTTCAGAGCAAATAAGTCAAATCTACAGACAAACACAAGAACAGTATGCAACTTATCAGATAATGAACTGAATGTACATGAAACGGCATTACTTGAAAAAGGACTAAACTTTAATACAACTTTAAAACCACTGAAAGCGATCGAGATGGCTCCTACCATAGAACCTTTACTAACCCTTTTACCTGATGATGAAGGAAATGAATTACGTCAGAAGGTTGAATAAATCCTGTCGAATAAAAAAAACAGGTAATCCCACATTTGTTGAAAAATGAACGTCATGCATCATGATGAAAAAGAAAACTTTCTAACAGAGATTAACTTAATCTCAGAATATACAGAGTTTACTAATGAAGTAGAATCAAATGAGGGAACTCTAAACCTTCATGATTGTCTTGCAGAAAGACAAACTGACGAGAAACTAAAGTTTACCATATACAGAAAACCGATACATTCCAAAAAGTATTTGAATTCCCAATCAGATCATCCAATAGGAATGAAAGTTCCAGTAGCTTTAAACCTCGTCAACAGAGCTAGAAACATTATAACAGATAATGACGATATGGAGAACGAGATATCCAATATAAAACAGATTCTGACTGGAAATGGTTATCCGGAAAGGCTACTAGATAATATTATCAATAAAAAGGAGCATAAGAGAAAATAGAAAATTTAAATACCTTGGCTACTGACGATTTTGACCGGGGTTCAAGCCCCAGCCGACGCACTTCTTTACCTC